AATAATTAGTTTTTTTTTTTTTCAATTTTTATTTTATTTTACCGTCATGAAGATCATAAATAGTTTAAGAAAATGAAATGATGATAAGTGCATTATATGTACCTATAACCAACAGTAAAAATATTTTTTTTTTCCTACTCACATAAGTATCATACAAATTATTTGTGCATCACCTTATGTGAACATCATAAACCGCCACTGATACCTATAATATTTTTTGCAAACAATTTTTAAATGTTCTATGTTTATCAATGGTTCGTTTAAAATAAAAAAATGTTAAAAAATATTGTTTTTAGTTAAACTTTAAGAAAAAATCTTTACATGAGGTAATTGGTAAAAATTTAAATTTTTTATCAATAGATTACAAGTATAATGTTAATTTTAAGAATATTAAAGACAAAATTGTACAAAGTTTTAATTTGACCCATAAGTACGCGTTTGAGACTACAAAAACGGATGAGAAAAAATTGGGTCTTTTTGAGAGAAAAATACTTAGAAACATTTTTGGGTGAAATAAAAATGAAAAAGGTGAATTTAGAGTTAGGACAAATGATGATTTGAGAAGATTATTTAGATAAGCAAATATTATCGAAGCCATGAAGAGTAATAGAATAAGATTAATAAAAGAATAGGAAGGTTGGTCATGTTTGGAGATTTGAAGTGGTATTGGGAAACGTAACAAAATGGAAACTGAACAAAAAAAGAGTCCAGAGGATAACCCCGACAACGGTAGGCAAATAGAGTTGAAGAAGATCTCAAGGTTTTAGGAGTAAAAAACGCGTAAGAAATGTCTAGGGATAGGGAGGGACGTTTTTGTTGTTGTTGTGGACCTTAATGGTCTTTAAGATGCCTTTGAAGAAAAAAAGAGACATGATGATTATGTATACACATAACAAATATATATATGTCCTTTTTTACTGTCCTCCATTATCCATAAAACGTCTTAACTTAATTACTTCTCTTAATTCGTTGAACATTTTCTTCAATCTCTCCGTTATCTCAAAATCCAATTTTGAACAGGTTGTTATTATTATTGTTTAAATTATTCGGGAAGCTGGTTTTGTCATTTGAACGTCTTTAATTTTTTATATAACTCGCTATTGCTTATTGTTACTTTGTTAGTTATTTTTATTTTGTATTATTAATTTGTAAATGTAATGTAAATGTTAAGCTAAATAGTATATAAAAGTTATTTTTTAAAAAAAAAAAACATTACAACTATTTATTATAATTTGCGTGCATCAAATCATACGACCTTTTAAAATAATACTAGATTTATAACTAATATTAATAATCTAATAATAATTTTTGTAGTCTAATCAAAAATATTAAATTGTAAAGATTTTACATTTTATAAATTGATTTTTGTACATTTTAAGTATATTTTTGATTAGAACTAATCGTCCTATTGCAATAATTATTATGAGATTTATACTTAAAATTTTTAATGTAACATGTGAACGCTTTTAATTATACAATATTTTTGAATACTTGCAGAACTTATACTCCAAATATAAATATTAATCTTTTGTTTTACCTTAAAAATATTATTAAACATTTAACGTACAATCAGATAAAGTGATTTTCCCCCTTATAGTATTTAAATCAAAATAGCAATGCGTTAAGCATAGAATATTTATAAAAGTATTTCCGTGTCGAATTAAAATGGTTGTAAATTTGAAAATCTACACACTCATACAGTTAACATTATTATACGGTGAAGTTGTTGGTAAATTAAAGTACCATCTCATTTAATAACGTTTAAATACCGTAATTCACCACTTACTTATAAATGCAGATTACACACCGTTGCTGACTCGTGTCAAAAACCATTTACCACGATGAAAAATACTGTCAACAGAATCGTTGCCATCGTACAGTTGAAATCGTTTTCACTTTGGATTTATGATTGATGTCGTGCATAGATATTCCGTGATTAAGAACCCCACGTTGTGGGTTATTATAACAGTACGCATTTTGGACACATTTAAAGAAGCAAAACAAAATTGAATTATGTTACATTGTTGCATTTGTTGTTGATATCTGTTTAACTTGTATGTCTTGAGTGCTTGTTTTGCGTCTTACAAAAAAAAAAAAATACATTAAAATGTTGGTGTAGGAAGATGAGGAGTATAAAATATCAAATTTGAATACTATACAACGCTTAAGACAGCATCGGCAAATGTATACAGTGTACACACGTTTATACTTTGTGTTCAACGTGGAAAGGAATACTGTGTGGCGCTTTTCGTATAAATGTTCAGTTTCCAATGGAAAAAGCTTTTTTCAACGGAATCATCGGAAGTCGGCAACGTATAATGGAATAAAATATTGAAGTTTATGCTGCGGATGCTACATCTTTAAGAAATCTATTCAACGGCTCGTCGGCCTTGGATATTATACATACGTGCCTGATAATTTATCAACGATACATCCAACACTTTATTATGTTATATGCCTTATGAATTCATTTTCCTCGCTCAATTGTTCGCCAATCACTGAAGTGCATTGCAATTACGCGCCAGCTGTACATTGCACACGTATAGTCTTAACTTAGGTGGTATTTGATTACACAATAAGCTACGTATACCATATAGTACAAATTTAAAAAATTTTTTCATTTTACGAGTTGGGAATATTGTCACGGTAGCTTTTATGACAAAAAGAAAATATTAACAACGGAATTCTGAACAGAGTCCAGAATGCCATTGATTATAGTATTGCAAGGGCGATTTATAAGTAGATTTTTTCTTCTCGGAAACCCTTTTCGGAGAGGTAAAATTATTCAGGATATTTTAAATAGCTTCTTTATAAACCTTTCGAGTTGACAAAAGTGACTTTTTGAAAAAAATATTCACAAACAAAAAAAATGTTTATATAATTTCCGTTAAATGTCGATTTAAAATTTCAATTCTTACGTGTTCTTCGAACATATTTACAACAATCCGTTTAGATATATACATTTATAATTAAACATACTAACTACGACTTACTATTCAAATTCATTTTTATTTTTCATGTAAAGCGTTATTAAAGGCAAATATGAAGTGGAAATTGTGTTGGCATTAAGAGAACAAATTCATTATTTCCGCTATGTATCACAATAATATAATATTGTGTATTGGACTTTTAATTTTAAACTTCTATTTATAAAATTTACTATTTTAAGGATTTATTATTCGATATTCATGTAATAGAAAGCAAATGAATAATGAGCGTCACTAAATATGGTAATGCTTGCAATACAAATAGGCCAATAATGGACATTACAATAAGTTTAAGCTTCTGATTAAATGTTTACATATTTATTATTTTAATGAAATCCCTTTGTGTATTATTATACATTTTTATTATTATTATATTATTATTAATATAAACATAAAATATATGTCTAATGATTAAAAATTGTAGTTGACGTGTTATGTGTTTGACATAAATTAGCTTGAATTCTTAAAATTCAATTACAATAAATAGTAGGTTAAGAAACAAGATTAAATATAAAAATTTATAACTATTAATCTGTTTGTTTGCTACAGAATTTTTATTTTACAGACATGTATTTTAAAATACTATTGTATTATATATTCTTGTGACCCAGATGTGAATAATTCAATCAAGATAGATATGATGAGAAAATGTTTGAATCATTATGATTTCGATTTGTTAGCCAATTACTTTCTACGTATTTGAGCACTCAGTTTGTTTATTTTATTATTTTTATTGTTTGTTTATTTGTACTCTTTGTTATTTTTCTGAGAACTCCATTTTTTTTTAATTCCATTTTTAATTATTACCAATTTATTTGCTATGTTTATAAACGCGAAAACAATCTATATTATAATTTGAGTTCAATAAAAAGTTTGCCAACAAAACTTTCTACATTTGAGTATTTAATTTCAATAAATTATAAGAAAAAAAATTTAAATAAAAGTTTTATATTAAAATGAAAAATTCATATTTAATACAACGTAGCACATCTCTACATTGATTCAATTAACTCTATGCATTTCTAATTCAAAATTTAATTATAAAATGACAAATGTTTAGAATTTGTTTTCACAATTTAATAAACATAATATTATACATTATTGTGTTCTTTAATCATGATGATGCATTTATCAGGGTAATTATTAATTGTTGACTAGTTCGTGATTGTTTGAGTTAGCCGTGTCGTTGTTATTCGAATCGGTCAAATAGAAATTTGATGATTACAAATGAGACGTTATGATTGCTATCAGAGTCATATATTTTGAGAATTATTCTTTATAACGTGGCGCATAGTGTATGTACTGCGAACTTCGTTCCTTCTTAAACATAAATATTAATAACTCAAAATAAAGAAGTAGAAAAAAAAATATAGAACTAAACATTATACAAACAGTCAAAACAATTAGAGAATAAATGTGAATACACAGCATAAAAAATAAACCAATACGCTTTGCTAAACGGTTTGCGCCATTGTACGTGACTTATGTCAGAACTCGACTCGATCAAGGATAATAATTTCCGTAGTACAAACGAACAGAATCAAAACGTAAGATTTCGTAAACTGAAATCGCTATTTGTCGTTAATGGTACACTGCAGTATATAGTACGAACACCTTGGGGCAGATTCAGGGGGGCCCTAGGTGCCTCGGTTGCCCCCAAGCCTATACTTCTAAAAATTTTATATTGTTAAAAAAAAATTACTAACACAAAAACAAAAAAAAAAAAAAAACATAATATTATACTATCGACTATTATAGTTAGTATAAGTATATAATGTAATGTATAATAATTAGAAAAATAGAAGACTGGAATTTATGTTGTAAAATATGTTACAAAAGTATTTGTTATTAAGTCTTATGAAAATTATAACTTAGATCCCTCCCCCCCGAACAAGGTGTCTGGAACCGCCACTGCGGACACAAACGTTCCTGGGGCGTTTTCGGATATCGTGAAATGACGCGCGAGGTTTAAATATTCCAGTCTTATAAAATGGTATTGTTTTGTTTGCGCAGAACTCAGAGAAGCCGTTCACAAGGCGAAGGAGGAGGAAATCCAAATACCTTTCGGCGTCGGCGTGGCAGGGACAGTGGCGGAGACCAAGGAAGTGGTGAACATCAAGAACGCATATCAGGTACAAAACACACGCATCCTGTCCGGTTGTTAGGTAATGATTAAAATGATGTTGACGAGCGTCTTACTTCCGGCTGGATGTCACGACGTTGACGATATTTCACTGAAGCCGATAACGTAACATTATGCTAAACGTATCGGCAATAAACGTCGGCGGGACCCTTAATCGCATACATTACAGAACGACGATAACGACTCGGTTACGGTTTTCGTTACCCGGACGGTCAAAGGGAAATGATTTTTTTAAATAATAAAAGGGCACTCCCTTCCGCCGTCTGAAATAAATTATGCGTTCATCCAAACGATTACTCACAATATCTTTCTGCGGGTACGCATTTATCAAACGTTTATGCGGTGCGACCGTCGTGCGACACGCACCTGCAACGAATGAACCTGATATGATTCTTATCGAATTTTTTTTTTTATCTATTTTATATGAATCGGACTTCAAATGTTTTTCGATCCGGCTTTCCGTCACGGAATGTTTACCGCTATAGCCGTTTAGCAGTATTCCTTGTTCGATTCCGATTGAAATTTTCCGACCTGTATTGCTGTGGTCGCGGTAGATTGTTGTCAACTTCGCCTGCCAACAATAGTATTGTAATCGAATCCAAAAGATAAATCGAAATAGATTCGCGTTGTAGGTGACACCCGATTACCTATGGTTGGGAAAAATTGCCGGACGGAAGAGGATGAGGAAAAGGTGGTGGAGGTGGTCGCATGGCAATACTGAATACATTATTAATTGGTCATTGAATATGTAAATGTATACTATCAATAATGGCCACCGTCCACTTCGAATCGAATTACACACAATAATGGTTATAAAATATTATGTCGGTAATTACCGTTGACGGACATCAGTGATCGTTCATCGCGCTATATAGGTACTCATACATGTGTACATATGAATGTATTTATTTACATAAAACGTAATTCGGATGGCATTTAAAATTAATAGTACGAAACAAAAAATTATGCATAAAAAAAAAACATGAAATGTTAACTGATCCAATTATACATGTTCAAAAATTGTTCCTTAAATTATACGCGTTTAAAGAACACTTTTTGGAATTTCAATTTCGTTTTTATCAAATTAAATATTAATGTCCGTTATCGACCGTTTTGTTAACTAATTTTTACGCTTTCGTCGTCAGTTAAACGTATTCGAGTATTGCCATTATATTCTTGTGAATTGATCGTTTCTTTTTCATCGAGAACGCAGGCATAAATATTTTTTTCGTGGTATTTATATTAACAAAAATTCTATTTAAAAATACGTTTTCGGTTATTTTGTTGCAATACAACTGTTCATAGTTCGTTTCTATTCTAAAACACATTTTCACCACAGTCATCATAATATTATCAGTCTGCCACATACGCAATTTACAAATGTTAAAATGTGTTTCTTCTTTTAACGTTAAACATTAATTTTCTCGGTCGATATATGTGTTTTGAAACACAATAGTTTCCCTATGATTCGCATTTGCTATATATCTCAGCATAATATATTATGATGAAAGTCTTGTTTGAATAATCGAATAATCAAACAAGAAATAGCTTTTATTAAAAGACAAAATTTACTACTAAGTGATTCGTCTCACCAAATAAATTTATAATGATACACGTAACTAAGTGTTGCTTATTTATAAGTACTATGTAAAGTTAAAAAATGTATAATAAAGTTGAAGAACAGTAACTAAAATACAAAAGCTGACGGGGGAGATGGTTTTAGGATATTTCAGCGGAAGGACTAATAGGCGAATGGATATTTTGGTGAGTAAAAATATATTTTTATTACTTAAAAGAAAACAAAATTGAAAACTAAAAGTTAATATTGAATACCAAATTTTTCAAGTAACCGATAATGTCCTCTATTTATTAGTTCCCCACCTTTTTTTTAATGTTGTTTGATGTTGACATTTATAAAATTTCGACTTACTTCTTCTCTGTGTGATTTATCTTGTTTGTAGCAATATCCTTCGTTAACCAGTTTTGGTTTATATCGTTTTGATAATATATTCATTGTATGTTAAACAGTTAAAAATTTATTACTTAACAGTTAAAAATACCTGCTCAAATACTTATTTCGTTACTCGTTTGATTTGGATTGCAAAATTAAATCGTATTATACTTTACTAATGGTTAAGATATTGATTGTTTCAAGCTGGACTTGTACATAATCGCACGATAACAGATGCTATAAGACTGTTTAAAATCAGATAATTTTTATTTGTACAAAATGCCAACTATTGGCAATTATTGTTAAACATTTCACCTACATCTTTAGTTTTTACTTCATGCTTGTAGTGCAATATACTTTTACATTATTGCAACGTTCATTGTTTAATTAATCATAAGTAAATTATTATTTTTCTTCAAAGACCAAAACAAAATTCAATAAACCCATATGCCAAAATATCCATTCACCTAATAGTCCTTTTGCCAAAAAGTCTAATTACCGGGGAAGACGACTATAAAGCTTAACGTTTACACCCTGAATGTATTGTGTGTGTGTGTGTGTGTGTGTGTGTGTGTGTGTGTGTATGCACGCGCGCGCTTGTAAGAAAACATTGTGACATAATGTATATTTTTAATAAAATATATTTATATGCGGGGAAATAATATTATGTTGAATTTGTATTATCATATTAGATTCTGTTATTCAGTATTGTAAATATTACAGCACCCATGTATGTATAATATACCCATAAGAGAACATAACTCATATTATATTACGTTTTTAAATCAAGCTCTTGTGTACTTGACTTTCTTCTTAAAGTATGCGTAGCAATAGCTGTATGGTTATTTTCTTATTTAGAATTTACATTTCACTGCTAATATATTATTCACAGACCCAAATACAATATACTGAATATCGCATCAGAATAATATGTTTTCAATGTTTTGAACTAAAGTTTTCGACAAAAAAAAAAAAAAAAAAAACTGTGAAAAACTATTTATAACTTTGATTATTGTATTATGTTTTCATATTCATCTTCAAGGACCACAAATATAATGATTTAGAGGGACAGAAGAAAACCGAGAAAACTTTTCGACTACTAAGAAAAAAACTTTTTAACATTATTTCAAGGAAAAGTTTTTTATATAATGACATAAAGTTATTAGTCCATAAATTTGTAAAGCATAATATACTTCAATAATGTCTTGGTCAAACTTTTTATAATAAATAAAAAAGATCAATTCAAACAGTTTTTCAGTAAACAATTTATTTTACAAACACCTTATAAACAATTTATTTTGCAAACACCTTGATAACATTTATTTAATATACAATACTTATCTAATTTATAGAAAATTATCGTAGTTTCATTTATAAAACTAAAATTGTTTATTATTCAATTCATTTTTTTGTAACACAAATTTATGGTTTTCAAAAAATATCATTTTACGAGTGTTGCATATCAAATGATTTGGATCACTATGTATAGTTTTAAATTCATACGTTTTGTTAATTTTTAAATGTACCAACCAGTTAGTAATTGATTAGTAATGAATATTATACATATTATTATTTTTATTCCTTATCTATATGGCTAGTGAAATAAAATAATAATTTTTATAAATTATATTATTATAAAAACAAATATTATATTATTATAATTTTTTTATAAAATTGATTGGACTATAATTTTTAAAACTGATTTTCCGGTAGTGTTTTTTACAACAATGAGTATAGTTTGTATTAAGTGTATTTCAAATTATATAAGTTTACTATTCTAATTTTCTCCAATTAACTTATATTTTTTCAGAATTTTTCAGTATAGTATTCATTATTTATTTCATAATTTATTTATACGTACAGTATTATTGATTGAAATTAATAATTTTACAATCATTATTTATTTTATAATATATTTTTACGTACAGTATTATTAATTGGAATTAATAATGTTATTTTTAAATTTTTTTTTTTTAATCAGATAAGTTATGAATCAGTCAAAATTTAAATGACTAAAAAATGGTTTTAACTTTACAACTACATTATTGATTTTGATTTAAATTATCTAGCAACAATAAATTATTCGATAAATGTTTTAAGAAAAAATTAAATGCTTTTAAATATTCGTATCATTATTAAATTATCAATTGATATTCAATTATATGGATGGATGAAAAATTAAATTAAAAAATTACAACGTTTCAGACGTTTTAATTTGATTATTTAACGTATTTCATCTATAAATAATTTAAATGTTTGAATGTAATTTTTTTTTATTTGGTCACAGTTGATAGTTGGTTATATTATTATCAAATATGGTTCCGAGTCATAATAATAATTCATATAATTGACATAGTTTTAATATTTTTATTTAATACGCAATTATAATCATACTGATAAAAAATAAATTTTAGTTTTTGTGAAATCGATATAAGTACTTGAATTTTTGTTTCGATTATATATATTAATAAAATATAATAATAATGTTGTATAATATATTATACATTTTATATTTATGTATTTAGTTTATAATATAAAATAATAATAATTAAGAAACGGACTTAAATTTAAAATATATTTTTTAGCGGGTGACATAGGAAAATGTTTTTAAAGTACATAATTCAAATTATACAAAAGAGAACTTAAAATTGAAATATTTATTTTGCATCTTTTTAAAAAAAATTTTTATCTTTATTGGTTATAAAGCATTTTTTATATTTTTAGAGCATTTTTCCATTTTTTAGGTAATTTGTTACACATATTTTTTACTTAGATTTATGAAAAGTTTTAACAATATACATTAAAGGTTTTAAATGTTTTATTTTACCTCATAAATGAGTCATTTTTATGAAGTTTTCTAAGTTAAAAAAGTCGTGAGTGTTATATTTTTTTTTTAAATAAATTATTTATCAATCCCGGTTAATACTGGTTGGCAATCATTGAGACTTTAACAATATTAATTTACATAATATATTTATAAATCTATTTGCTACATAATTTAAAAAAAAAAAAACTATATAATGAAAATATATGACTGTAATGGCAGGCCGAAATCAGTTGGATAATTGTTTAACTCACACCAAACAACAAGAATTCCTCACAAATTTTGGCAGTCGATAATAAGTCTAAATTAACTCCAATGGACGAAACTTGTTTAATTAACACTGAACCTTCCATAGAGTTATTATTTTATACTATATAAACAGTCTTGCTTTCAATCAACTTTTAATTCTCAATCAACACTCGTTTATTCGTACTGAATGTAATCTATTGCTTGAAAATCTTGTCAGTACATATAAAATGAAACCCACACAATGATATATTTTATATTTTGTTATTTCTTAGTAAATAATTAATGATAATTGTTTTCGTATTGAACACACGTTTTGGGTTTCGATAAAATAAGATACTACTAAAAAAGTTTTACAGTACCTGACTAATTAATTCACATAAATACTCACACTTAACTGTATTTGGTCATCAAAAAAATATTTATACAACTAGGAATGTTTCAATACATTTTTCCGGTGGCGTATTTCGCTCAAAACATCTGTAAAAATTCTCAAATGAAGTTTTAAAATTCAAACGTTATCTCTAATCTTTTTAAATGTTTTTCCTTATGGAAAACTTTTATTCGTGAAATAGTAAACCTTAAACTTACAGATTTTTGTATTAACTCAGGAACCGGAATATATTTTTACGGCATTTTTAAATTAAAAGCCACGATAGTTTAATTTAATTATTAAGATGTATTAGTCGTTTTGTCACAGACGTGTAGTAATATAAGACTTAACATTTATATTGTACAGTCACATAAATTATTCATGAAAACATTTATACGCCATAAAAATATTTTTATGTTATTTCTCATACGACTAAACATAGATATTACAAATGGTAATGAGCAATAATAATTTTTTTTTTTTTATTTCTTATATTTAAAATTATTTTACATATAGTAACTATATCTGCAATAGTTAACTAGGTATATTTTGATTTTTATTTTTGCAGTTTTATAATTATTTGACTAAAAATAGATTCGGTGTTGTAAAAACAAATACCTTAGATTTATTTATACAATAACATCCACAATATTACGTTTGAACCTGTATATGTACTTGAAGTCTTATGAATTATGGTAATGAACATTTTTTTTATCATAGACGAAATACTAGTAGATTATGTGTCGACGCCAATGACTTTGAATTATTTATGTAAAAATAGCATTAATATTATTCAGTTAGATACATTTGAAATCATCTAGTTTATGTTCATACATATAGTTTAAAACCTATTCTAAATAAGTAACATTAACGAGTGCCATAAGGTAATATAATCGATTGGCGAAACGTCTCGGACGCCATCGGCACTTTTTATGCATCTAGAAGTTGACGTTCTCAGAGTCACACACTTTTCTGATGGGACCAAGGGCCGATGAGCACATGAAACATTAGGCGATAAAATAATCGTCGAAGAAAATTTTTATTTATATTTTTGACGAAAGAATATGTTTGTTTAGGTGTATGACGACTATAAGTACATTTATACACAAGTTTTCATATAAATTTTATTCATAAACTTTTCTTAAAAATAAAATACTCTGTTATAATATATATATATATATATACACACACCAGCTTATTTTAAACTCGATTTGTAATCTATTTTACTTTAATCTGTTCAGTGTATAAGATTTATTTTTAGTTATATTTTCCATTGACAAGACGTTTTAACGAATCTTCTACAAATCAATATACTTTTTCAATGGAATTTTTGGTAATATATGACAAAATAAGTAACAAATTATGTAGCCAAAATCTTAGATTTTCTTAAGTTATTTAAATTTCTTTAATGCTGATTTTTATATTGTCATATGAAATAAAAAAGTCATCGGTAATTGTTGTATCAACTTATTTGCTAAAAATCATTGAAAACTTCTGTTATATCTATATATTATATTTTATCTCCAGATAAATGTAGCCTATTATTATATATCATAATTTATAGTATTAATGTTATTGAAAAATATCATTGGTTTTAGATGTATAATTTCAATAGTAAAACAGTAGTAATTAATTTTATTTTTAATTCACAATATTCTTCCAGAAAATCAATATCTACAAATTATTTTCCATGCAAACTGCGGGTACCCTTATAATAAAAAATGTGTAAAATGTTTCACATTCAATTTTAGAAATTCGAGGTTTATAAACTCAAAAGTCTTATCGAGTTCTACGCTGTATATGGTGTGCCCACGTGTTTCTTTGTGTTTCCAAAGTGAAATATTCTTAATTAAAGGAACATAAACAAAATGATGTTACTTAAATATTCAATGAGCTATTTATTATCATATTATCTTGTAGAGAAATATTTTAATTGTAAATTCGTTCCGTTTTAAACAACCAGTGCAGTACTTATGTAATTCCGTAAAAAATATTATTAAATACTAAAAATATTAAACATTCACCATTATTAACCATATAGATTTCACCTAGTCTTAGGCCGTCGGATTTATTCATAGGGTATGTTGCAGAGGAAGAACCATCAGAAATACTGTTCTTAAATCAAAAATATTTCATGAAAATCGCTCACTCTTTGATTAAATATGAATGTTTTACACAATATTATTAACTAAAATATTTACGAAATGAAAGATACATAACATGATGATATTCGAGTGATGTTTACGAGTTTATTATATTAAAATGTAAAAGCAACGATGATGAATATTTGATTTCGGAACGAAAATTCTTTATCTATAATCGCATGCGCACAGCAAAATCATTAGTGAACGCTATAACGGTAAGCGTACGAAATTATATATTATTCAAGTGTATACAATTAAAATATATTAAAATCACATACGGGTTTGTAGCAGAATCTAGTACGACATTTCGTGGCAAGCATGTCAAATTCTAGATATTTTGTCATCGATACGTGCGAGGTGCGTAATTCTTACATCAATCGATCGTTTCGTTGGTCAAGTATGATCTTAAAATGTAGTACGATGACGTATCGAATTCGACTTCCGTGGTACCTACATATGATAAATATTTGGAAATCCGATAGTGTTTGCATACATATACGATAGTGTCTAACATTTCCAATACTATTATAGATATATTATGTTCAGGGACGTGGTAGAACTGGTAAAATAATATATACCAAAACGGTCCACAGCCCATCCAGCACCTTTTATATGAAGTACGCTTAGAGGATCTGCAGGTCTTAAATAAGCACTTTCATTTTATCCAACTCAATTAACTTATCGATATTTCTTTTGTTATTATGTATTCTTACTCATTTCTCACTAATCTGGGATACATTTTTTTTATTTCGTTAATATATTTTTTCGATTACAGATAAATATATCATATTATGTTGATAAAAATCAAAATAATCATCTTTAGAACGGCATTAATAATATCGTATACGGCAATCGGAAACCATTTTCTTCGATATTTGTTATGATTTACCAAAATGTAAATTTTAAAAAACAACACTCGTTTGTTGGCAACTAAAAGTGTGATTTATTAATTGTATCTAGTTAAAATATACACGTATCTATTATCTTTAAAAAATATGTCTGATTATTTGACATTTTTATCTGAATCTAGAGAGGTTTCAGCTAACCATATGTAATGTTTCATCAATCTCGATACTATATTATACTTCTAATTACTAGTGCTAATATAATTTGGGACGACGAATCCCGTAAATCTAAAAGCTGTAGTATAATTTTAGTTCATGCTTGCTAAAAGGACGGAGTTTAAAAATTAATAATCGTATACAATTTTAATGTACCTTATAAATATATACCTTAATTCATAAGTCTAGTGATCCTTAATAATCCTTCGATGATACTATATTACAACCATCGTTTTAACTCATTAAAGCGTTTAATAAATGTATTCATAACTTAAATATTAATAACATATTATATCTGTATGAAAATACCCCTAACCTCTAACGCTTCACTTGTACTTGCATATTTACACAATCATTCCATCTTACCCTTAACTTACGCTTGTATACTTGTATGTACTAAAACTATTGTTTTAAAAATTTGAGATAAGACCCAGACTAAAACTATGCGCCCCAAGGTATGTTTTCAAAAACTCATGCGGGCTAACTATAAAACGATCTTTATGTTTTTTTTTATCTTTATGTTTTTTTAAATTTAAAATGAGTTATTAATATAATTTCTATAAAAAAAAAAATTTAAAAATTTTGTAAGATTTTGCAAACGTTCAAAACGTTGAAACAATTCAAATTAAGTAAATACTCATACATTAAAAAAAAAAAAAAAAAACTGTTTTCGTAGCAATTAACGTGTGATTATAGCTTCTATAACATTTTATACCGATCGTTTTTTTTTTTTTACAGGACCCACGTTTCAACCGGGAAATTGACCACATGACGGGTTACAAGACTAATTTGATACTGTGCGTGCCGATCTGTAACTACGACAATGACGTGATCGGCGTGGCTCAAATAATCAACAAGACTGACGGAAGCAATTCGTTTACCGAGCACGACGTTGAAGTAAGTATGACGTCGGCGGTAATGCGTATTTATACGGTTTGGTTAAAAGAACAATTATGTCGTCGTCCTGTATAGCGTACAGGATGATGAAATTATCTACACCAAGGCTGCCCAATTTATTTGGAAATCTGGCTATAATTTCAATTTCATTTAGCTGGTGGGTCATCTAATAAACAAGACTTGCTTACGCTTACAATTATTTTATACAGATACAGTTTAAATCAAACAAAGTTTGCGCACGTTTAAATAATATATATAAAAAAAAAAAAAAACATCAATGGGACCTATGAAGGAGCTTATTAGCTTATCATTCATCAATATTTGACGATGAATATGATATTAATAATAACATCTAATCTGAAATACGAAACGCATTTAACGAATCATGATATTATTTTGTACATAGGTTAGAGTAGAAAAAGATTTTTCGCAAATATATGTTGAGCCTGATCTACTTGAAAACTGCAAGGCATATCATGTGTGAACATTGCAGGGAAGTCTTCCTTTTGTACTAATTTTCAAAATGTTATTAAAATTTTTTTAATAACTGCTACTGTTGACCGTAGCAAAATGTGGATGTGGAGTGACCCAACGATACTTATATTTTACATTTTTTTTAAATTATAGAAGATTTAGATATTGTATACTCGTAAATATTCTTTTTTACATTTCCACTGAAAGTTTTCGTTATTCACCCTGTAACATTATGTAGCGTTCTGTCCCTTTATTTTTACCGGTCCACGCCCGATTCACCTACATCGTCTTGCATAGCAACGAAGCGCTGCCCGAAGCAATCGTTGTTAGGTATATGTACTTGCGATTTTCGTGCACTTTTTTCATCTGTTCGAGTGTGTCGTGAAAAGAAAAATCAAATACAAACACGACATCGATAAACATTTTCCTAATGGCTTGTGTTTTTACATGTGCATATTTGTGTTTAGATATTCCAAAGGTACCTGACGTTCTGTGCTATCGGAATACAAAATGCCCAATTGTTCGAAAAGTCTGTACAGGAATTCCAAAGGAATCAAGTAAGCGAACGCAATACCTGCATTGCTATATAAGTGCACCATCGTCGCGATTCACGCATAATATATTGCACATAAATTATACATAAATGTTATGCCGACTGCATTCGGGTGGATCAGCCGAACGGGTGCGCAGCTACCCACTGTTGGATCCCCCGGTAAATCCGTACATTGATGCGCGTGCTTGCAACGAATATTAATGTCATTATTTTCGAAACCATTGATATTATTATATTACGCATTGTAATTCGGCACATTTTTACCATATCCACACACCCATACAATTTTAAACTGTTTAAACGAGGTAGTACCAACGTGCATGTATGTACTTACAGTTTAAGGAATGCAAACTCCTGGGTACTTTTTGAGGCATCTGAAACATTTTGAAGACGTTTAGTGATATTGTAACTATAATTTTCTTCTATCTTGAGCGTACATCATTGTTGCGCAAAGGTCGTCCGTTTACTAAATAGTTTACATATTGGCTATATAAAAACCAAACGAACGTATAAGATATCGAGTTTAAAATTCGGAAAAATTTTCCTTAATAATATATGCCATAAAATAGTTTTTCGTACCTTATTTTTCAAAGTAATTGCAAGCTTTAAAATTAATTTCTATACACATAAAATATATTATTATAAAGTATATAAATTAAAATACATGCTATGAATTTTTATTTTTTACTCAACTGAGTTTCTTTGTTATTGTCAATTTCTCATTTTAATTAATTGTATTATTTATGTTTAATTTTTAAATTCTCGAAATATAATGTTTTTACTTATTTTAATCTACATAAATTAATAATAATTTATTTTAATTCACTAGTTAATAAATTCATCTTATACATTTACATTAAAACATATTTTTAAATTTTAAATTCTAACGAAGAACACCTTTATTGTCAGTTTTTATAACACAATGAAATGATTGCTAAATCGACTTTTAGATAAACTAAGCATTTATTTATCTAACTTACTTTCGATTAGATACCCAAAGTTTTGAATTTTGTTTTTAACTACCTTGAACAAATTTCGTCATGTCTACTTACATAAATAACATCATTGAAGTAATTTCAAGTTTAATACTATAAACTTTTAGTCATCGTTCAAGGCTATTATTTTATGAGATTATTATATTTTGTGAAAGTAGATAACTTATATTATTATTTAATTAAAATATCTTAAGTGTATATGAGAGAGTTCAGACTTAAAATATCTTATGAAATAAAAAAAAGTTAATTACATTTTTTAAATAACGCTATTATTCAAGGAATCTCGTACAGTTTTGACATTATATAAAACAATATCAATTCAAGACCGAATTAAACACTGCATTCTACTGAAACAATAATAATAACGATGGATTATTTGTTCGATACGACTGTTGATTTATAATGGGAAATTGGGAAATAAAAGTATACTCCCTGAATAAGTCAATGATGTATTGCGGTCGGCATAAATATAACATTTTTAACAACACGAATGTGATTGATTTTTGACGACTCGAATCATATATGACGCCATGATCTTTCTAGATGTTGCTCAGCTTGGCCAGAAGCATATTCGAAGAACAAAACAATTTGGATTGTTTAGTATCGAAGATTATGACCCAAGCCAGAGATCTGATCAAATGCGAGCGCTGTGTGGTTTTCCTACTGGACTTGGAATGCGAAGAAGCTGTACGAATTTTTTTGGCAACGTTATTTTTCAATTTATATATAAACATATATTTGTACGCGCGTGAGTAAAATCCCTTTCCTACTTTTATAGAGCCATTTGGAACACTTTGGAGCCAAGCCAGGAAATTGTTCACTGGAAAAGAAAGCGTCCACTAAAAATGTAATGAATACCGTTGAAAATAAAAATGAAACAATGATATCCCTATACGTTTGAGTCGATTACTCATAACTAATATATATGTATATTTATTGTGCTTAATGTTATAGAGTACCACCGACGCATTAGCCAACAAGGATATTCCGGTTGCACGTGAAGAAAAGGTTATTATTTTGTCTCGCGCATACGACGATGTAGTCGGTTGTTTAACTGCGTACACATTGTGTACGAATTAAACGATCGTCTACGTTCGGTAACGGTCACGTGATAAATCGGGTTTTCCTTTCTCTCAGGACATAAATTTCACCACGGCTTTCGAACTGGGCTCGGAACACGGGGTGAAGAAGATCAATAAGAACGTCAAACCGTCCAAGCTGCTTCAGATAGCGCAAGAAGTGGCTAGCTCTACCCAGGTAACGGTTCGGCTGAGGATCGCACGCCCCCTTTTTTGTTATCGTTATATATATATTAGGGTAACCACTCACTTAAATGTGTGATTTTTTTTTTTTTTTAACCGTTCCATTAAATTTCCCCCTTTAATATAGTTTAATTTAGTATAAAAATGCTTATTTAAATGTTTGGTACGTATTAATGAATATTTGAAGGTCGCATTTCAAATTTCTACTTTGAACATTGCATATTTTCCTATTTTTACGCTACACCTATCTAGTGTATATATTACGGGCAAAAGTCGAAATCGGTAAAACCTCAGTAATGCCCGGGCAAAGCGCAAACTGTCTACAATCCTCGGGCAAAATGTCATATTTGGGCTTTTGACCGGGCAAACCTAGTTATGATCAACCTCATTTGGGCAAAACCGTATACTGACAATTTATGAGGTTTGCCCGTAACATATACACTATACAGTGTACGGATAAGAAATGTGTAAGTTATTTGTTTCACCAAAACAATTTGTAGTTTATCAAAAGTTTATATCCGTACTGCGTGTTAGTATGTAAGTATGCATACCTATACGTATGTATAACCCGCCGACGTTTCCGTGTGTGTTGAACAGTTGTTGAACATTGCGGACGTGCAGGTGTGGGCCGCCTCGTTGAACCGACAGCCGAGCGCCGACAGCGAGGATGGGTGCGCGGGTCAGGTGTCCATCAGGTCTATACTGTGCATGCCGATATTGAACGGCAAAAAAGACGTGATCGGAGTCGCGCAGCTGATAAACAAGGTAAGGCGCGCGCCGGCCGACGCTCGTCCCTGGGAAAGACGAGTTGTTTACTACGGGGTCTTCAGCAGGGTGTGTATGCGCTAATTAAACGCTACAGATGTGTCTACGTAAACATTTCGTCGAGACGATATAATATTCTGACGACCCAAAGGATAAGATGAGATATGCTGTACGATCTGCATATCCGTAGCTAGACGATAATGGGGGGGGGGGCGAGAAATGTCTACGCTCCGGCCGCAGTTCCCGGGAGGGCGCGAAAATGAAAAATTTGCATTTTACGTTAAAAACTGTAACGGTCAATTTTTTATATCTTATTTACAAAAAAAATTGGCCTTCTTTACATTAAACCGTTTCTAATAGTTATAATAATTTTGAATTAAAAATACGCAAGGGCACGTTTTGAAGTTTCGTCCCGGGAATAATATTTGTTTGCTACGGTACCGCTTATAATGATACATAGTAAAATATGACTTAATGGTGTAAAATTTTATTTAGACATTTCACAATTATTCTTAATTTCCATTTAAAAATAATCAATTTCAAAAACTTAAATGTCATATAAATATCCGTTATTTGGAGTGTCCCGTATTTAGAGGTTTTCCCATAGAGCAGTAATGAAAACGTCCCCGTTCTCGGGTGAAAAACGACCGTTATTTGGAGATGTCCGTTGAGTGACGTTTCGCGATATTTTCTTTCTTAACGTGTTATCAAATATAAAACGAGTGAAATAATATTATAGAACCTATCGAAAAACGACTATTCGCCTTAAAGTACGTTCCCGTCATCACTGTATCCCGTATAGACCGTGTGATCTGTGCAACCGAATCCGGGGCCATACCATGCAACCTAACTCGGTGAATACATTACCATAAAGCAGTTATATGCCGATAGTTGAAACTATCCAATCGTTGTGTTCGTATATGATTACTATTGGCCGTGTAGATTAGTGATAGTAGACATCAATTGACAATCAATCATAAACACAAATTAATTTTGTTTAAGGTCTATTTACATACACATTAACAAACACGGAACACGCGGTCCTCGCGGCAATAGCGCTCTATTTGTAGCAAAATAATCGATTTCCAATTGTAATTCGAAAGACGGTATACCGTTAGAGAGAGTTTTTATAAGACTACATACTAAAAAGTCACCATTGACATTTCCGTCTTCTAGAATGCAGCACTTGGTTTTCACGTTTAAGCATACACGTTCAGACACTGTATCGTACCGTTCCGATGCAGACATGCTGTACTGTTCCCATACTCACATTTTCGCTCCAACATCGTTTCCGTTACAACAATAAACTTGTACACATAGTGACTATATTTTGTGTGACAATGCACAGAGTCACACTCAGCCTCTAACGCGTTCGATCAATAACTCTTAAGTCCGTTAAAATTTAAAACAAAACACATAGTAATATATTTTGAGAAACCGTTCAGTGTCTGACTAGTATGAAACATGCTTTGAGGTCGTTCCGATGGTTTGAATCCGCTACACTAGGAAGTACAGATTTTTTTCACGTGTTTTCGCGAAACTAATCACGTTTCGAAGTACACGCAGTTTCCCTACCCCCAAAATCGCTTTGTACCGCGCGCACCCCAACGCGTTCGCGAACATACCGCAAACGTGTTCTCGACCGCATATACCCAAATAACGGTATCTACCTCGTACGCAGGACACTGGGTTCCCGTTTACCGACTGCGACGTAGCGACGTTCGAAGCCTTCGCCATATTCTGCGGCCTGGGCATCCACAACACGCAGATGTACGAGAGCGCATGTGAGTATACTGCTGCAGACGACCGCTATAGCATTTCAGCGCGATCGCCAGTAACACATAACATTAGTAGAAAAACCGTTATCTTTTTAACGCCGTTGTCTGATTCTCGCAGGCAAACTGATGGCTAAACAAAAAGTAGCTCTCGAATGTTTGTCGTACCACGCGACCGCGTCGGTGGACGATACGATCAAACTAGCGCAAGACAATATCCCTTCGGCCGAAACGTATAACCTATACAGGTAGGTCGTACCTATTATTTATTTATATTTATGCCTAGTCTTAGTTATATTACGCCCACCTAACGCGTGTCAAGGGTATCATTTTTGTGATTTTTGTTAACGGTAAATGGTTCTTTTCGGGATGAAGATAACATTTTCTCTGCGGTGGGTAATAGACGTCATAACATCTATGCATGGTGAATATGTTTTAGATAGAAAAATTCTATAGCGAAAATACAAGAAATTTTGTTTTAATCACTTGGTGGTGGCAAGAAGTTGGCCTGTTGAATTGTTTGCATACCCTTAAACAATAACGTTATGAATTTTATTCGAGATGTAAAGATGTTTGAGTAGTTCAAATGTTTAGAACTGAAGGCCCAAAACCAAGGCCATAGTGTCGATTAACTGTAAACGCCTAGGCCAGTTGTAGATAAAAGCATGACAGGGCGTGCAGGCGAATACCCTGCCTACCCCTCAAATGGCATCCGTGTCTCGTATCGTTGCACGTATCGTACCTAAAAATATCCGAGTTCCGTCAAACCGATCGCTGTATACGGGCGAGTGACGGGCGCATGTTTACCGTTTGTGTTTACAACACATCGCATTCATGCTTCTTGAAATATTGTGATTATAGTGCTGAATTGAAATCTCTAAATCCGAATAGTTCTATGTTAACTTATTATCAGCAACGTTATAGGACGGAAACAGTAACTGTTGGGAGTTTTGCTTCCTTCAGACCTTTTAATTTCGCAATATTCTGCCTTTTTTTCTCTCTGGAATAATGTAATAAAACATAATAGTTAAATTAATTTTTTGTCGTACACGCTTTTATTCAACTAAAAATAATTTAATTAATAATTATTTATAAAATTATAAAAAAATAAAGTGTCTTATTTTCACGAAAATTGATCGATTGTGTAATAAAGCTTAATCAAATTTAAATACAAAACAATGGTATAGTTATCATCTTTGTGGAGTTTTTCTTTTTTTTTTTCTATACTTCTGGGTGATGTAATAATAAGTGCTTGAATCAAATGTGAACTTTTTGTAATCCCTACAATAAAAATGAGAATACTTACAGCCAAGTTATTTTAAAATAAAATATATGCAAAAAGTACACTGAGAGACGGTAAATATAATTTATTTAGGACTGTCGTATACGCCTCATACTACAGGACATATAAATTAAACTGTTGAGTATAATGACAAATATTAAATATTTCAGTAGGTTATGTTGTACAAGAACACGTTTTTACATATTATATAATGATGTTATTCACATAATGTTATTCGATAAAGTTTCATTTCGATTATTTAAAAATGTAACCCATTTCAAAAAACCCCGGGCACGGTTTTGATGAAATATTGATGTCAATGGGTTTTTAAATGTAGGTACGTTATATTATTATAGAACTCTGCATTAGAAAAAAATTAATTTAAGATAATTTAATTTAGTACAACAATACAAGTAGGTATTTCAATTAAATACCATTGTCACAGTAAATTATAAATTAATTGCAAACAGAAATGTTTGCGTATGATATTATTATATACATTCGTGTATTATACATTACATTTTCCTGAACGGTATTTACTCAAATTAATTAATATTTCTGCGATTGTGCATTTGTACGTTCCGAATAATTAACAATTATTGTGAAAGTATATGTATTTATTTGGACATATACTATTTACACATTTGATAAAGTAGATACATAAACTCACGAATAAGTGAAAACGGTTCTAGTTAGTTGTATAAGATATACTCAAAATTCAAATAAAACTACAGTGCAAATGAATGAGTTTTATTCAAAATGTTTTTTTACATTTTATTTAAATTCATTATATTTCATAATACACAATTAGGTAAACGATTATTTCGATTACCGTTGTCCGGTCTAAATGAATAATAATACACGGTTATATTATTTTTTTTTTACACTATTAATTTTATTTTATTTTAGTTTTAAATTCATCGACTTCGATTTGTCGGACGACGATACGTGCAAAGCGACCATCCGTATGTTCCTGCAGTGCAATCTAGTGCAACAATTCCAAATCCCGTACCACGTTCGTATTACGTACTAGTATATCATTAAACCGCTAGATGAAACACTCACAACGTAAAACGTACTCCGTTCGATGTGTTGTGATGAGACGACTAAAATATTATATTCGAACACCGTCACATCTTCTCGTCATCATAATCGACTAAATATTTTGTTTACAGGTGCTTTGCAAATGGGTATTGAGCGTGAGAAAAAACTATCGACCTGTAAAATATCACAACTGGAGACATGCGTTAAACGTTGCACAGACCATGTTTGCTATGTTAAAAACCGGAAAAATGGAAAGATTCATGAGTGATTTGGAAGTAAGCACATTATTCCCCTTGTGACAAAAACTCGACCAACTAATTTATAATTTAAGAAATTATTGTAAATTACATAAAAATATATGAATTTAACTAGGATACTGCAGTAGCTGAGTGCTATATAATCTACTATTAATTTAGATTCGAAATTGAAACGATTGTTTTGTGAAAACAATGTCTTTGGAAAGCTCGGTTTTGAGTTTTTTTTTTAAATTTAAAAAACATACAAATTTTATCAAATTTTCAATAAATAAGTTGGTGTTGTCATCATTTCGAGTTTCTTATACGAGTATTACGAGAAATAATAATTGAAAAATATATCCCTAATATTCATGTACGTCCGTATAATAAAAATAGAAATAATATCCATATTTGATCAATAAACATGAAAATATCTGTGGCTACTCTGTAAATATGCATGTACAATTATATGGTATTACGACAAAAATGATTAACACATGAAATTATATTATTATAGATTTTAGGATTATTAGTGGCGTGTTTGTGTCATGATCTTGATCATCGGGGCACGAACAATGCTTTCCAGACGAAGACCGAATCGCCGTTAGCCATTCTTTACACAACTAGCACGATGGAACACCATCACTTCGACCAATGCGTAATGATATTGAACAGTGACGGCAACAACATATTCCAAGCGTTATCACCTGAAGACTACCGCTCAGTGATGAAGCTGGTTGAGAATTCAATTTTGTCCACAGATCTGGCCATGTACTTCAAAAAGAAAAGCCGATTTATGGAGGTGGTGGAAAACGGTGAATTTGACTGGCAAAGCGAGGAGAAAAAAGCACGTGAGTATAATGGACCTCTGTCACCGGAAAATATTACTGCCCCACCTAAGCGAAAAAAATTGTTAATACGACGTATACGCGAAATTATTAACGATTAATTAAAATTTATATTACTTCCTAGTGTTGTGCGGTATCTTGATGACAGCTTGCGACGTAAGCGCAATAGCAAAACCTTGGGAAGTGCAGCACAAAATGGCCAAACTGGTGGCTGACGAGTTTTTCGACCAGGGCGATTTGGAAAAGCTGCAACTAAATCAACAACCAATGGTGAACATAACCTTAATAGTTACACGGCGTACATGATTTCAGTTGTAATCGAAAGGTTTTTTTTTTCGTACAGGCCATGATGGACAGAGAGAAAAAGGATGAACTTCCGCAGATGCAAGTGGAATTCATCGACGTCATATGTTTGCCGTTGTACAAAGTATGAAAAACATACGCTGCTAAACATCAGCCTTCGTCATTTTTCTAAGTACATTCGTTTGTATTGTATAATCGTTGTTATAGGTTTTGTGTGACACGTTTCCGTGGATCACGCCATTATACGAAGGCACGCTGGAAAACCGTAAGCACTGGAAAGATTTAGCAGAAAAGGTTGAAATGGGTTTAACTTGGATCGATCATGATAAGATTGAGATTCCCGTTGAAGAATTCTTTAGTGAGTGAACATTATCTGTTTTATTATTTTTAATATGAACAATTTTAATTTTTCGTGTACTGTTTACAGCTAACAAAAGCACCAAAGATATAGAATTCACCATAACTACGTTAAATACTACCCAAAATTCCACGAAGAAAAGCAATACAAAAGTTAGTAAGAAACATGGTAAACATACCTAATTAAGGTACCTATAATTTTTTTTCCTTGAATTTCTGTTCATATTTCAAAAAAGGAAAGTTTCGATATTTAACCGGAAAACTTGTGTACATCGATTAAATATGATATATTAATATTGTTAAACGTAAAATAAATATTTTATAATACATAATATATTATTAGTTCTCAAATAATTTTATTATATTTTTCATTATTGTTCTTATAATTTTAATAATATTGAATGTTTTACATTTTATTTTGCCTTTAATCATGGTTATTTTAATATTAAAAAAATTATATTTCAACGGAAATGTTCGAAAAATATAAAATTATGCATTAAAATTATAGTTACATGTAAAATAATTTTATATCTATTAAATATATATATATATATATATATATAAGATTATTTAAAGTTTTTTTTTTTTTTAAGAATTTCTAGTGTATCGAATAAAACAATTTTAAAGCTAAGTTTTAAATTATATAAGTATTATCATTTAGAAAATAGTTTAATAACTGAAAAATACTTATGGAAAATAATGAAAATGTTATAATGACTAAAAAAATTACTCAAGTCGTGTAATTGTTTATACTTAATTTGTATAATTACTTTTGATAATTGAGTATTGTATATCAGTGATAGATTAGAAGGATGTTTATTTAATTAAGTTTGTTTATTAATTAATAATTTATTTAATTTATATCACATGCAACGGAAGAGTCTTATTTCAACAATTGAAGAACTATTCAAACCAATGCAAATAAACAGCAAAATGAATACTTAAATGGAAATGAAAAACAACTATTATTATCATCATTGGTTTGTTTATATATTTAAACTAATTCATTAACCAAAACGCAAAGCAAACAAAGCACTATTTTATTAGTTTTAGCACGTTACAAGTTTTAATAAGCATCTTACAATTCATGTACCTACATAGTAAAGTATTATGAAGTATTATTAAAATAACAACCACGAACAATTAAACATATAATATTATGTTATAAACCTACAACAAATAATATTTGTATGGTGATCAATATATTTTATTAGACTTATTTGATTTTCGTTGTTGATCTACTATAACATATTTCGCAAAATTATTATTATATTAATTATTATATTACTACACATACAAACTTTTTGATAGTATTTATCCACAAAATCCATTTATATCAAATAAAACTGATTTACAACTTATGACTTATAAGTCACATTTTATGTTTAAGCTATAATTATCAAACATGGCTCCTGATATTAATCAAAATACAATTTTTACATTCATAAAATGCAATTAAATCTAAAATTGTTTTTGTAGTTTAATTTAGTACAGCTAATCGAAATGTTTACTCGCTTATTAAACTAATGTTCAAGTCAAAATTGAATTACTTAACAAAATATTAACTACCTATATCAACATTTTATATTACTATATTATATTGTTTGTTGTTAGTTATTGACAAGTATTATCACACTAATGTTGAATTTGGTACTCGTATATTATTAATATAGGTCCATATGTATATTATATATTTTGGATCCAAGTAAAGTTGTATACCTACTCACATCATTTGTAATTATTAACTCTCAATATGTTCATTTAGAATCGAAACTTTCCTTTAACCATTACTTCTTTAGAATAGATATTAAAATATTCCACTTCTTAACCACAAAAACTATTTAGAAAACATAATAAAATATTAATACCACCGGAGTTAGTTACCTTAATACGGTTTACTTAATGCAGTAGTTTACTTACCAAATAATTATATAACATTTCTATATTCACATATAAATAATTGTACTGTAATGTATTCGAAAAATCAAAATGACATTTAAAATTGTATTGCTTGCAAAGAAATTATTCTTTTCTTACTTTATCAACAAAAACTTGATACGGTAATTTGTTAAACGGAGTTAAAATGTACGTAATATTTAAAAATATTGTTGTAATTCTTTTAATTTATTCTTTAAAAACTATAACGTTTTTAATTTTTCGAATACATATTTCGGTTTATCTTTTTCAAGTTCTAGTTTGATAATATTAAGCTACTAATCTATTTCTTTGATAGGGGTACAGTAAAATCTCTATCGATGGATAATCAGTAATTTACGGCGGTCCTTAATATAGAGGGAGTCGGAACTATAAAATTAACGCTTATTTAATTATTTAGAAAGAAACTGAAATATAAAAAGACCTTCATTGTTCAAATGTTTTCTCTAGTGGGATTCTGTAAGCGGAGGTTTCCATACACTACAACTATGTACTTCTACAACTAATAACTAGTATTTCTGTTATTAGATAGGGAGTAACGGGAAAACATGTTCCAAACGTCCGAACGTCATTATTTGAATTTTCAACCAACCGGATCTGAACCAAAATGTTTTGACCAAATATCGATTACATAACTGACATATTTATTACGACTATTAGCTAAAATTATCGGCCTGGGAAAAATCGTGATATTCTGGAAGCACGTTGTAAAAGTTACAACATTTATCGTTCAAATATACGCGAGCATAATATTGCATCGATCAATCCACAAGGGTCGACCTTAGACCCTCGTATCTCTATCCCCCACCCTACATCGATCATTCCCCGTCACGTCACTGCTGTGGTACGTGGTTAGGTTAGACAGGCAGTCCTGCCGGTCGATAACCGCCAAAGATTTATACACGGAACAACGTGTGTGTGTGTGCGTGCGTGTATCTATACTAATTATCGGCACCGTTTTGCGTGTGTGTTGCAGAGCCTCGACCTTAATCTGCAGGATTCGTCCTCGTTCCACCGAAATGGCGCTAAGTTCTCCAGCTTTCGGAAAAAACCGACTTCCAGCCGATCGTTCCGGAACCGCGTCAGCCGCTCGTTGTACAACAGTACGGCGAGCAGCGGCTCGGCGTCGGTGAGCGACGCTTCTCAGGTGCCCACCGTCGACCAGCAGATGATCAGTTCTACTTCGTTGCCGGTTTTCACTTCTCCCGCGACCACGCCGGGCTATAACAATCAGCCCGCCCACAACACATCGTTATCGTCCACCACGCCAGTGAAAAACAAGAGCAAATATTGCCGGATCCTGTGATAAATGTTATCGTTTTCTAAACCTAACGAGCCTGTATACGCATGTTCACCGTTAACGCATTCGTTCGACGTCCCGTACCTCACACTGTTGTCATGTGTCGTCGTCGAGTGATAATAATCTATTGTAATATGTACGGTACTCTGTTGGAAAGGAACTGAATCCTGAATCGGTTTCTTAACGACATTAGTCCGACAACTATACATCTCCATCTTCTTCTCTACCTACCCACCCTTGCGCCGTCCCCGCTGTTGAACCCGATCGTTGTTAAAATAATATTATAATATACATAGACTTTTGTCGTCACTCGCGTTTTTGTTGTTGTTGTTGTTGTTGTTGTTGTTTTTGTCTGCTGGACTATTTTATAAGATATTGTAATATATTAAATAGATTATATATTCTTAAATATGATAACATAATATTATAATAATGTACTTGGTCGATTTGGAATATTTGAACTGAAATACTATTACGATAAATGGCGATATAATACAAATAACAGAAGGTATTAATTTATAGAAGGTATTAATTATACAATTATCCAATTGTTCGATTGTTGGAAGTTTAAATAGATTCTTTTCTCGTTACCTATAATTTTATATAATTTTGTTTGAAAACGTCGTCAATTCATTGGGTTGAAATAAATTCATCAATTCATGTGCGTAATTGTAAGGTTTGAACGAGCCGTCGAATCAAAACAATCATAACGTGACATTTTAGTAAAAATTAGTAATAATTGTTTATTTTGATTTACCTTCCAATCAACTAGCTATAGAGCTTAACTGATGTACAAAACTAATGTTTATAATTAAAATAAATAATGTGTTATAAAATATCTCTTAAAATTAAATGTAAAAAATCATATTATAAGTACAAGGAAATTGATGATACATTTATGAATTTAAATTTAAGCCAACCATTATAAACATTTCATAAGCATAAATATACTGCAATTACTAAATAATTTTTACTTAAAAAATTTTGAAATTAAAGTGTATTACCTTACAAATGTGTTTCCGCGTTGGTGTGAAAACATTACAAAAATTATTTCAATCCTTAATGTTATAAAAATATATTCAACAATGATTACCTCGAACCTATTTTGTAAATAATGTTCTTTCAATGTTTTAATTTTAATCTTATATTTAAAAAAATTAAAAAAATTGATAAACTATTATAAATGCATGAAAACACATTTTTTATGTGACAAAATGTAAAAATCAACACATCAATATTACAAATATTAAATTATGTTTCCAATTACTCTTCACGATATCATTCATTAAACGGATTATCCGGTAAATGTGATTATGTTTAATTATATAATATTATTGTACATCGAAATTAATGTTTTCCACCAAAAATAAAAATTTCTAGAAAAAAAATAAAAATAATTGTACTTAAAAATCAATTTACCTGAATTGGGAATTACCTTATATGTACATATATGATGTACGTATATGCGTATGTGTATATATCATGATTACAATGAGCTATTTAAAAAAAAAACTCATATTGTCATTAGTGTCATTAATATATTCGAGACATAGTCACTCCAAACCCATATTAATAATCACATGACTTTATTTTACTTAATTGCAATAACCTAACTATTATTACAATGTTAGGCTCTAAATTAAGTATATTTTTAATAATAGAAATAATATGTTTAATAATTGTGATATTAATTAGTTTCAACTATGTAGCCTTAGAATTTTAATACTTCTTTGTTGTATTGTATATATATTTATTATTTATTAATATCTTAAACTTATAAAAAATAAATTGTTATTATTTATTAAAATTATAGGTTGTTTTATTAATCAGATGATAATTTTTCTGGTGTATATTCAATTTTGGTAACTACAAAAATGTTTTTGAAAATTGGTGAAATTAATGGATATCTACTAAAAAGTTAATATCTGTAAATATAAATGATCATGTAATAAGATAAATGTTATCGATATTTCCTGATTTAATCGTTTATTGAATTTATAGGATGTATTTTAACCGTGGGTATTAGGGTGCCACTTCAATTTTTTTTACATTTATTACCTTAGTTGACTAAGGCCTTACTTAGTTTCTATTTACCATAAAAACTATTTTGATGAAGTTTTAAAATTTTTAGTCAAGTTTTACTGGTCGCTCAATGCATTTTAAAAATATATAAATAGTAATAATTATATAAATATTAAAAATTTACAATTTATTATTTTCTGTCAATTTTTTACATAAATGTGAATATTTTTAATAAATTTTCATTATGTACGATACAAAATACTTATATAATTAAAAATAAAAATAACAAATATAAGGCATTCAGAGATTTTTATTTTTTGTTTGGGTCAGGATACTATTGACGATGTTTTTCAACGACTTGCAGTAAAAACTGTTTTTGCTCCTTTGATTGGTCAAAGCTGAATTAAAAGATGAAATTTAATACACTCCTCACTCTGCTATGTCATTCACAATTTTAAAGATTCCACTGTTTTATTTCCACTTAGAAATTATTTATTAGTTTCCCATGTGCTTGGATCAGGTCTGATATTGCACTTTCATAACCTTTTTTTATTTATATTTTTCCAAAATTTCAAAAATATTTTATTTTATTATATATATATATATGTGGCATTACGATCACTAACTTAAGTACGATATAATGCTGATCAACAGTCGATTAATTATATTCTTTGGACGTTCTCTAGGACATTTAGATAAAATATTTTACTTTTTCTTTACCTGTACTTTTTTTCACTACTGCTTCTATTACTAATACATAATATTATATGTTTTTCGATTTTTAAACGTTCATTTTCTTATTTTTTTCTTGATATTATTTTTAAGTTCTTTGCTACAAATTTTTTTCCTGTAATTGACAATTTTCTATCAAGTGTACCCATCGATCTTCGTCTACCCTTTTCCTTTGTGCTTTCAAAAGTTTTTGTCTTCTAGTAATTTAATTAAGTTCATAGCAGTGGCATGGACAACATCAAACAAATCGTCTAAATTTTTTACAAAATGATTCACTTTCATAACCTGTGTCTCTGTTTGTTTGATTGCATTTTTTTTTAATACCAATCCATTTCAAATATAATTTTTTGATCTCATTTATTATATTATAATTTTGTTTAGTAGAGATTCTCATTTTATACCAAAAATCTAACAAGTAATTTGTAGTTATATGATGATTTTTTGTATCAAAAAGTTATCTTTTAAATACATATGTAAAAAGCGGCCAAGTATTTGTCTATTTGATGGCAGTTTAGATCCAGTTAAAGTTTTACTTGTAATATCAATCAAATAAATATCAAAGTGGAGGTGGAGTCAGGTTTCTTTTACAATAATTGCGAAACGCGTTAACTTCTGTCGCGGCCCAATAGTGTATGAAGAATCTATCATTACCTATATCTCGAATAACATTATTATATGGATATTCGCCCTTCATTATGTTGACTGCTAAAACCTCGTCTTTATCCCAGCGATTTTTATTATTTTCATTGTACTTCATTACATATAACGCATTTGACGATGGTAAGTGGCTAGGTTCTGTATCACCATACGCCATTAACCTATTAGCTTCTAATCTTTAGATATAAGCAGCAGACATATTTTGATTTGATAAATGATTCAAAAAAGTATTTTTATTTTCTCCAATAATGCGTCTTTTTTTTTCTTGTATTACATTCTTTGTAATACCCTTCTATTGTACATCGAATTATTACTCTGCTACCTTCTTCTGGTTGATTTTTAACTTTTCATCTTAAAACACTAAGACAAGAAGAACAGCTTCCATATATGCTTAAAAATGTATTACCATCAGGATGTAATTTTGATCTTTTAAAAATTAAGCAACAAGAAAGTTTGGTTTGTTCAAAAAAGTGCTCGTTCGCCATATGTGTCCACTTAAACGGTTTTAACCTATAATTTAACCGTATTGTATTCTTACCATCAGTACGCTTATAATTTATCGATTCTCCATTAAATATTTGGTGCCATTCATCTGATGAAAGTGTGATGTTAAAATGTAAAATATTAACTAAGTCTTCATTTTCTGACGAGTTTAGTAGTATATTACCAGGCGATTCATTACCATCAAGTAATAAAAGTGTATTATCATCTTCAGAAACATGTGATAAATTTTATTTATTTTTCCTATTTTATCAGCAACACCATACCTGTTTAGTAAAACTATTGTATAGATATATTTTGCATCAATTATATTATTCAGATTTGTTTATATTCGAGACCAACAATCTTGAGTTGGCCCTTTAAACTATTAGTATTTTCATCAAAAACGTTATATTTTTTAATCGCTTCGATAAGCTCTTCAGGATTAATTTTCGACTTCTTGGGCATTTTTAGGCCTTGAATAATGGTCTAAAATACTGATAATAATAATAATTTTAATATTACTTTTAAGATGCCACAATCATATTAAATAATTATTATTTAAAACTTAAGCGATTTATTAAAAAAAAAAATTATGGTAATTCTTTATTGAAATGCTTAGTATTTTATTTAAATTGATATTCTTTGAAATTTTGGGTGCAATAAGCATAATTTTTACAAAACTAATAACAATGAATACGAAAATTTGACTCCGTCAAAAAATAGTACGTCTCTAAAAACAATTATTTCTATGATTTCGGAATTAAGTTATACTTCGTTCACTAACTTGCTTTGATTGGCGAATACGGACAAATGGACATAGCCATTTGGACGAGGCCGTTTGGACGTCAAAAAAAAATATATATATAAAGCTATATTTATAAAGCGGCTCTCACACGATCAATATCACTGACAATATTTTTGATACTGACAGTATAACCAAAAATACATTTTGTAATATTATGTTCTTTTTATTATAATCATTATACTACTGAATTCATATACATCTTATGATTTATTTTACATATATGTCAAAACTGTTTGAAAATATTTTACTTCTATTAAATGATCAAAGAGAGAATTGCAATAAAGAAAAATATATTAATGCATCAGAA